GATTATGATGGAAAGAGCAAAACCCTTAGAGACACAGTTCTGTTATATGGATTTCCAAGTGATTTTTGGAAGTTCTACCTAAAAGTCTGTTATTTCATTTATGCCCCAAATTCTGTTAGTGATTTAGCACACATTTATAAATTTCTTTCTGCTAGAATTATCTATATAGAGTCAGTACTCTGCAACCAAACACTGGTTGACAGAAATGACTAATAAAAGAGAAAATATATACTTGGGAATAACTGCATAATAGTCCAAGTCAAAAATTTCCTGGCTGATCTGAAATTATTAGTGAACTGAGAGATGTTTGCATAAGTGTTTAAGAATAATGGATTTCTTTTCAGTAGGACTTCTGAACATTTTTAAATGGTTAATTTATGTTTTAAATCACACTGCTACAGCATTTCCCCCAATGTATTTGACCAGGAAATTAACCGTTCATTTCAGGGAAAATCTATTATCAGCTGGAGAAACACAGAGTTTGAGACATTGGTCTCATGTATTGCCCAGCAGTCTGAGCCAACAACCTTTGCTTTTGTTCCAAGTCTGTTTGTTCCAAGCAATCTATTTAGACTTTTATTTTCCATACATCTTGTTGTCATGCTATAGTAAGTAGTTTTCTAAATAGGAATATCAATCTCCAGCCAATTTAAAACAGTGTACATCCTTTCATTAGAAGTTGATGACATTAGTTGCTTGAACAAATGGATTCCTTTTCAGCCTGGATAAAATAATAAAAATTAGATGAAAAGGCAAAACCAGTTTATTTCAAGAGCTGACAGAAATAAAAGGGAAACTAATGACAAGATAAATAGATTTTGTCTTTATTTTCCAATTTTTGAGTAGATTTAAATGAGTTTAATGGGGGTAAGACTTGTAAAAGTCAGAAGGAACTCTGAATGTGTTTGAGGTGAGAAAATATTTACTAGAAAATCTTGGGCACTGAGATCATCCTTAGCTATACAAAATTAATGACATCATTGTGTAATGTGCTAAGTACTATCATTTTCTAGAGTAAAGAGAAAAGTTATTTTAGCCTACAGTGGTAAGGAAAGTAATTGCAGAAGATATGATGTTAAATTTCTAGTAGGCTTATTACAGCTAGAGTTGATTTCTAGGTAGAGTGGAATGTAAACAAGATGACTGAGGGTGGTTCAGTGTGATTGCAGACCTGCATATAATTTCTGCAGATCTAATGAATTCTGAAAAGCATAATCAAGTCTCACTACTTGACTATGTATCATAATGTAAATCAAATGCTTAGAAAAGGGAAATAATATCCATGTCAGTATTATGATTAATTATCATGAACAAACTTAGATAATATTGTTACAATTACAAACTTATAAAATGTTAGAATTAAAAAGAATTTTTGAAACTATGTTATTCAAATCCTATACCCATCTTTCCACCTAAAATTTAGTTTGGTTCAAAAGAAGAGGGAAAAAATGGTAGCTATATTAGGCTAACTTGGCCACAATAAAAAAGTTAAAAAAAAATAGGCTAAAAAATACTCAAAGAAATAATGGCTAAATATTTCCCAAAGGTGGCAAAAGACACAAACCTACATATTTAAAAAGTTGAACAAACCGCAAAGATGAACATTGTATAATAGAAGCTGTTGATGTCCTGCCCATATTCTCTTTGCTACCCACTGCCCTGACCCCTCCGCTTGCTGGAAGTAGTAATGTTGTCTGCCACCCACAGTTTCTCCCTTCTGTAAAGAATTGTCCTTGGTCATTGGCAGCCTTGTTACTCAGGAAGTCTGCTAATCTCACTGTCTGTCCTTCCCTTGGACCTTGGCAAAAAAAAAAAAACAATGACTGATTCAGGAGTACAAAAGGCCACTACCTTACTCCAAGGGGTTATTTACACTGTACTAGACTTTTCTCCAGAGATTCTGTGAAATTAGAATGAAGCTAGTCTCAGTCTGAGGCAACACTTTGTTAGCTTTTTTCCCATGCCCATCTTGCTGTCTCTACTCACCTCCTCAAAAGAATATGGAGAATAGCCAGAATTGTATTAATGGAGCAGTAGGATGCTAACTACAATAGTCAGGGAAACCCTCCTGGGGATACAATGCTTAGGCTTCCATATGAATGAAAAGAAACTCAGGAGCAAGAAGACAATGGATTGGGGGAAACTATCATGTTCAAGAAACAGAAAACAGCAACAACAACAGTGTTGTTGAAAAACAGTGAGTAAGAGGGAAAGCTAAAGAAGTTATGATCAGAGAGGTGATCAGAAGCCATATAGATCATGGTAGGAAATATATATATAATGTGTGTATATATGTGTGTGTATATATGTATATGTATATATGTGCATATGCATATATACACACATACATATATATACACACACACACACACATATATTTAAAAATACATTGCCTGCTCTGTGAGGATGGAATTTAGAAAAGCAGTAGATGAAGCACAAAGACCAGTTAGGATGCTAATATAATAGTCCAAATGGCTTGGATGCACATAGACATGCTACAAAAGGAAAGATTCAGGATATACTTGGGTGGTACAAATGATGTCACTTGCTGCTGCGTTGGGCATGGGGAGTAAATAGAAGAAAGCGATCGAAAACAACTCCTAAGTTTTTGGCTTGAGAAACTCCTAAGTTTTAACTTGAGCTCACCTATCTGAGCAGATAATGGTAACTTTTATTGAGATGAGGGAGATTATGGGAGAAATACATTTGCTGAAGGTGGATGAGAGTTAACAGTTCTTTTTTGGAAATGATAAAGTTGAAATGCCTATTGTTATTCAAAGTGAAAATGTCATGAATTTAGTTGTGTATGCAAGTCTGGAGCTCACGAAAGATGTCCAGATGGAAATTTGGAAGACATCAGCATACAAGTAGTACTTAAAATCCTAGAACTGGAGGATATTTTATACAGGAAAAAATGTAAGAAAGCAACAGAAAGAAATCTGAGACTCGACCCTAAAGTACATCAACAATTAGAGGTTGAACAGGATAATTTAAGCGAGAAAAGGAGACAGAATGAAGTCTCAGTGAGGCAGAAAAAGAAATGTGTGGTGTTAAGGAAAGCAGAATAAATAAATGTTTCAAGAAAGCAGGAGTGACTGCTGGTCAAGAGTTCCTAATAGACTATATCAACGGCAGAGAAGTAACCACTATACTTGTTGTCTTGACTAGAGCTGATTGAGGGTAGTAGTGGGAACAAAGACCAGGGTAGCAGTATGTTGAGGAGGGAGTGAGGTGGGTGGCGAGTGGCGGAGAGACAGGAAGTCAAAGAGGTTTATTTGTGCTTCTTTTTATGTAACTACTAGAGAGTCTAAATAATAAAGCAAACAATTTAATAAAGAGTAAAATAGCTGATGAGGGAGACAGAAACACACTAAGATCAGAGGATTTGTGAAAAGAAAAAAGAATGGAATCAAGAGCTAAAGAAGAGAAGGGGCCTTCAAAGAAATAGCATCTCATCTCCCATAACAAAAGGGAAATAATAATAATCTCTAAATCAACCTTGCTAATATGTAAAATTACCATGCATTTTTGTATATTGGCCTCATCAATCTTTTTTATTTTTATGTTTCAGTTTGAATAATTTCTATGGACATCTTCCAGTTTACTTTTTTTCTCAGCTGCATTCAATCTGATTATAAATATTCAATATTCTTTACCTTATCATGTTTTTTAAAAAAATTTCTAGCAATTCCACTTGATTGTATTTATTGTTTCTATCACTATGCTGAAATTCATCTCTTTATGCATGTCATTCTCCTTTTTCTTTAGGTCCTTTTTTATATTAATCATAATTATTTAAATACTCCTGTCAGAGAGTTTCAACTATAGTTTCAGCTATCAGACTCAACTCTGAATATTATTTTTCTTGCTTTTTTTTTTTGACAGAATCTTACTCTGTTACCCAGGCTGGAGTGCAGTGGTGCGATCTCGGCTCACTGCAAGCTCCACCTCCCAGGTTCACGCCATTCTCCTGCCTCAGCCTACCAAGTAGCTGGGACTACCGGCACCCGCCACTACGCCGGGTTAATTTTTTGTATTTTTTAGTACAGATGGGGTTTCACTGTGTTAGCCAGGATGGTCTCGATCTCCTGACCCCCTGATCCGGCCACCTCGGCCTCCCAGAGTGCTGGGATTCTTGCTTCTTATTCTTGACAATGGGGTCATTCTTTCTTGCTTTTGTGGGCACAGAACATAATTGTTACTGAGTATTGGTAATTGTGTGTGGAAAAACAGTAGATACAAAAGGAAATAGTATTTATGCTTGGAAATGTGTGTACCTCTACTTCTGAGTTGAGTCAATATAGTTAGTCGTTAGGGTAGATTTGGTAATTGTTTTTGCTATTGTTACCTGAAGTGTACCACACACTTCCAATTCCTCCAGTGATGGGATATCTACATTGTGCTTAGAGTGGTTCCTTGGGTACCAGAACGTTGTTGTTGTTTTTTTCCCAGTATTCCTGATCCATCCCCTGCTTTCAGTCATTCTCTACCACAGAGAGACTCTCTTGTCAACCTTTGTCCTGGTCCCAGTTGGTAGACTATTATTGCTGGTTACTCAGTTTGAAGCTCCTGGAGAGAAGATGAGATTCTTGGCTCTTCTGACCCAGTCTCAGTCTTAGGCAGATTGTATATACCTGGACCTTGAAGCTTTGACTTTTCAGCATTTCTGCTTCTCTTTTCCTCCTGGATCCTGCACATACTCCAGTTGTAGCAGACTTCTGCTTTGTATCAGTCCAGGAACGTGGGCCCAAAAGTTTTCTTTCAATTTTCCAAGAGGCAGAGATATTTTAATTCTACCCTTCTCCCAGAAGGAATGGGTCTTTTTCTGGGTCCTGGAGAAATAAGATTTTCCTACCTTTTACGTCATCACTTTCATGTAAGCAGAGGACCTTTCTCTGGCCCTTGATGTTGGAGGAGTTGTTGCCTCTTCCTCAGTGGCTTAGTAATTTGTTTTATTTGAGACATGCATCCAGAGAAGTGAATGGTCATTTCCAACTTACCCCAGTGGCGATCAGTCACTATCTGCTCATCCACACACTGGTGCCACCAAGGGTCCTGTGTCCAGTCTTCTGCATGAACACCTCTGGAAGCCTGTGGAAAAGTACATGTGAGTTAGGGTAAACTCCTTTTGTGTTTAGGTTCTCAGGGTCATGAATAAGCTATCCTACACATTGCTTTAAAGAATTTGGTGACATTGTAGCTGATTTTTAACATTGTACCTGCTTTTAGGACAGCAATATTTTTTCCTCTTATGTTCTGTCAGAAATGAAATAGTTCTTTTGTCCCATCCCTTCTCAGAGTAGTATGCCATTCATTGGAATTGAGTTGGTTTGCCTTGCAATATCAGCTCTCTTTATGATTTCAAAAAAATTTTTATGATTTTGTAGATTGTCTAACTTTTTCTCATTGTTAAGAAAGGAAAGACATTTTCTTGTCACATTCTACATCTGAAGCAGAAACGGACATCCTCATCTACTAATTTTAGCATCAGTTGGTAATTCTTGCCTGAAAATTATTATTTTTGAGGTCACACATTTTTCTAATTTCATTATCATTTCCACATTTATTAATTGACATTCAAAAGCTTGTGCTTTGAAAAAATACAGGTGAAAAAGGACTGTGGGAGTATCCACAAGCAATAAGGGTACCCCACACTACATTTCCTGAACTGTACGAACTGTGAAATATTTTCCAGAAAATTCTAGTAAGTTTTCTTAATTCTGCCTCTTAATCAACATATAATTAAATTTCACAATCATTATTTCAGGGTTTACTAACTACCTAACATTGAATTATGGACCACGCTAAGTTCTATTGATACAAAAGAAAATGATCTATTGTCTGTTCTCAAAAATAGTTAACCTTTACTCAACATTTACCATGTCTCAGGAACTCTTCTAAATGATTAGTAAGAATTGCTTTACTTAATCCTCACAACAATCCTATGTGTTGTGTACTTATTACTTTTTTCATTTGTAGTACATTCAACCATAGTAGAGATTCATAAAAATTAGGTAGTCTGTGAGAGACAAAGTTGAGATATAAACCCAGGCAATCTGATTCTAGAACCAGTGCTACTATGCTCCACTGCCTCTAAGTGTGGTGGAGTTAAATGGGCTTGAGACCTCCTCTCAGTCAGATCTGGGTTCTAACCTTGGGAACAGCGCTTACTATACGTGTGGCATATGGTCAGTTTCTGTTCCTCTCTCTGTAGTTTTTTTTTTTAAATCTGAAAAATAGGGAATATAATACCAAGGTTCTTTTTTTTTTTTTGAGACGGAGTCTTGCTCTGTCGCCCAGGCTGGAGCGCAGTGACCAGATCTCGGCTGACTGCAAGCTCCGCCTCCCGGGTTTACCCCATTCTCCTGCCTCAGCCTCCGGAGTAGCTGGGACTACAGGCGCCCGCCACCTCGCCCAGCTAGTTTTTTTGTATTTTTTTAGTAGAGACGAGGTTTCACCGTGTTAGCCAGGATGGTCTCCATCTCCTGATCTCGTGATCCGCCCGTCTCGGCCTCCCAAAGTGCTGGGATTACAGGCTTGAGCCACCGCGCCCGGCCGCAATACCAAGGTTCTTCAGCTAGTCTAACAATTAAAGGAGAGTACAGAATGCTAAAGAAAATCCAGTACTGTGTCTGACATAGTAACTCAATCATTAGTTTTCTTTTATTTCCTTTTTCACGAAGGCTCTCAATCTGGTACAAATAAAATATGTTTCAGTGTGGGAGTGCTATGCCAAGAGATGTGCAACAATAAGGGGTACCCCACCCTACATTTCCTGAACTGTATGAACTGGTGAAAGTATTTTCCAGGAACATTCTAGTAAGTTTTCTCTAATTCTGCTCTTAATCAACATACTTACATTACCAATTTCACAAATTATTATTCAGGGTTTACTAACTACCCTAACATTGAATTATGGACCAGCTAGTTCTATATGATACAAAAGACAATGATCTATTGTCTGTTCTCACACACAATAGTTAACTTTAACTTCAAATGTACCATTCTCAGCGAACTCTTCTTAAGTGATTTAGTCGAAGAATTGCTCTTACTTCATCCTCACAACCAATCCTATGTGTTGTCGACTTATTGATTTTTTTCATTTGAGTCATTCCAACCATAGTAGAGACTTCCATACAAAATTAGGTAGTCTGTGAGACGACAAAGTTGAGGATATAACCGCAGGCAATCTCGATTCTAGAACCAGTTGCCTATCATCGCTCCACTGCCTCTAAGTGCATGGTGGGAGTTAAATGGGCTTCGAGACCTCTTCTCAGTCAGTATCTGGTTCTAACCTTGGGAACAGCCGCTTACTATCACGTGTCGGCAGTATGCCTCAAGTTTCTTGTTCCTCTCTCGTTTTAGTTTTTTTTTTTTTAAAGTCCTGAAAAATAGGGAATATAAATATACCGAACGGTTCTTTTTTTTTTTTTTTTTTTTTTTTTTTTTTTTTTTTTTTGATGACGAGTCTTTGCTCTGTCGCCCAGGCCTGGGAGGCCAAGTGACCAAGATTCTCGGCTGACTGCAAGCTCCGCCTCCCGGGTTACCTCATTCTTGCCTTCAACCTCCGGAGGTAGCTGGGACTGACAGGCGCCCGGCCACCTCGCCCAGCTAGTTTTTTTGTATTTTTTTAGTAGAGACGAGGTTTCACCGTGTTAGCGCGGATGGTCTCCATCTCCTGATCG